TGGCGTTGTTTGCTGCCCACTTGATGGAAATGGGAGTCTCCTCCCTTGCTTGCTTCGAGGGCCTTCTGGCTGAGGGCAAGCAAAACTCGGGGGGACATCCGAACCCTGAGCCTCCGGGGTTGGGCCTGCAAGTAGGATGCCCGCCAAAGGTTTTGAAAACATCTGAAGGCCTAGGAGGATATTTGCCAGTAGTAGCGCCACTTATAGTTCTGGAGGCTTGGATTGGGAATTTAGTTTTAGCTAATTTGGCCTTGGGTTGTTTTTTTTAAATTTAATTTGTATCCAACTGTATTATGCTTTCCTTCCTCTCTAATCTTTGGTCTTTTGGGGTGCAGACAGAAGTGCAGCTCTCCTACATTTCAAGTGCAATATCCCTTCTTCAAGGAGGGAATGGGGGGGCGCATTTTGCTGGGTCTTTTTGTTGCTGAGGCTACAGACTGCTAGAATAAATGAGAAGGGCTGAGGTGCAAGCAGTTTTATGTTCGCTTTGGAGGGAGATGAAGATCAGGTGAGCGTGCAGTGGATGTGGATGCACGTGTTATGCCTTTCTTCACATCCCAATAGATTTGCTACTAAGCCTAATAGGGTCTATTATTGTGAGCTATAAATTCAGCTGAGGCTATATCTTGCACTGAGGCTTCTGGGTTAAAAATACAATTAAAGTGAACCTTACAATTTCCCCATGGAAAACTGCGGCCCAGGAATTAAAACTATGTGAAGCAAATCTTTGGCAAGGCATGGAAGTAAAATCGGGAGGCCTGACTCCCAGTCCTTTATGCTTTAGCCATTAGACACCATTCCTTCGTCTCATCTAGTATGTCATCAGATGGTACCAGTGAGCTGAAATAACGGCTGCTTTCTTTTGCTGCAGACCAGTATTGTAAGCATGGTGTACACCCAGTCAGAGATCCTGCAGAAAGAAGTTTACCTCTTTGAGCGCATTGATTCTTCGAACAGAGAGACCATGAAACACTTGAAAGCAATCTGTTTCTTACGACCCACAAAGGTAAGGCAGTTCTGTCTCCATGTTTGATCTCTCCAGCTTCTTGATTTCAGCTGAGTGGATCGTGCACGTGTCATATAACACCTCAGTCCTATAAATATTTAGTCACGTGCTTGTCTGCCTATTTCTGAGCCTAAGCTCTCAATTTCAAGTCCATAACATCAGCACAGGGGCATATGCTTGCAGGGTGAGGGTATTAGTTTGCTCATCTGCAAACTTTGCCTTGTCCACTATTTTGGAGATGGCAATCTTCTGTATTTTTCCTTTTTTCCTCTCTCATTTATGTTATAAAGTGTGCCCAAGTAGGTTGTATATCCAGGTGGATACTTTTTTGTGATGGTTTTACAAGAGTGGTGTGCTCTATGGTGCCTGCTTATGAGAGGGTAGGGGGAATTTGTTAAAACTGATGGGATTATATCAAGAAGGTCACCAAGAATTCCTCATAACTACAGAGAAATGCAAACCTCTAGAACTCTTGGTTCAGAGATGATACCTTTTATTAGACCAACCTTATAACTACAGAGTTTGCTATGTTTTTAGTTTAACTAGTCATCGTACCCATGACTGGGCAGTGGACATTGAGGGCTACAGGCTGTACAGACAGGACAGAGTGGGGGGTGGGGAAAAAGTGAGGGGCGTTGTGTTGGCAAATAAAAACGTAGGGTTCTGGACTATCCCAGGGATTGACATGACACCTCATTGGATGAATGACAGAATGGCTTTATTTACTACAAGTATTTAAAATCAAGTCGAGTGAGCCCAAACCAAATCAAAGTCCAGTAATTAGCTATAAGGTGATGATTTCTTACCAAACGGGTGATGAAGAGGCGGTCTGTTTCTCTTCAACTTCTCGAGTAAGTTGGGCGTATCAGCAACTGGTGTCAGAGATTTCTCACTCTTGAAGTGCGCATGCTGTTTGCTGTTTTACTGCCTTTTTATACCCTTGCTTTAGCATCTTCAAAGCATTCTTTTAGTTGTGTAAATCAAGAGAGTCCCAGGCAGTAATTGACAGGAAAAACCTGCTCATTACTGGTTATCAGAAATTCCTAATTTGAATGAGTTACCTTCTTCAGTAACAAGAAGTTATCCAGTTTGAAATTTATCAAGAAACTGATTAACAGCCAGGAAAAAACATACTAAATCAGGAGGAGACATCTATTACATATGGAGAATGTTTCTTCCTGCACATAAACATGAGTTAGTCGCAAAATAAATATTTACCATACTAATTAATCAAGGATAGACATTTCATATGGTTACACACCAGACAACTAAGAGTCTGCTTGAAATTACCTTGAATATAGCAAGATAAGCTGGAAGAGTTGCTTCGTTATTCCTTCTTAGATGGCTTAGCCATGAACTTGCATCCTCTTGCAATATGCATTTAGTATTATTATTCTGTATTTTAACTTTTGTGAGTAGGCCCAAGCTTAGCACAAGTTTCAGAGTCATCAGTTGCTCTCTATGTTAAGGAGCAATATACATCTTCCATAGTTAACTTGGGCCAGGAAGAAGGGCAAATTGAGGTACTATGGGTCAGGTTACAGGGGGGTCAGGGTGAAAGGGACATGGTAGTGGGGGTCTACTACAGACCCCCACACCAGGGGGATGAGCTAGGCCTAGAATTCTCAAGATGGCTCTTAGAGGCAGCGCGCTCAAAGAACCTGGTTGTCATGGGTGACTTTTAACTTCCCAGACATCTACTGGGAGAAATAGGCAGCCAGGTCTGCCCATTCACAAAAGTTTCTAACCTCCTTACAGGACCTTCACGTATTGCAGGAGGTACGTGTTCCCACTAGGGGAAATGCCTTACTAGACTTGGTAATTCTCAAGATGGCTCTTAGAGGCAGCGCGCTCAAAGAACCTGGTTGTCATGGGTGACTTTTAACTTCCCAGACATCTACTGGGAGAAATAGGCAGCCAGGTCTGCCCATTCACAAAAGTTTCTAACCTCCTTACAGGACCTTCACGTATTGCAGGAGGTACGTGTTCCCACTAGGGGAAATGCCTTACTAGACTTGGTACTGGCCACAGGGGACAACTTGCTGGGGGATCTGCAGGTGCAAGGTAACTTAGTGACCACCTATTGATAGGGTGGCACAAGTTTTGTCTGTCAGCAGCAAGGGGTGCAGGGCCCCAGAACCCCTGCACCAATCTCCTCGACAGCTGGCAGGCTTCATGGCTGCAACAGGGGCCACCATCCCTGCAGCTGTCACCCCGCTGTGCCTTAACGCATACAGTGTCACCCATGGCATGAGTTTTGCTTGTCCACAGCTTGAGGGGCAGTTTCCCTCAAACCCCTGCACCGATCTTCTTGAAACCTGGCAGGCTTTGTGGCCTCAGCAAGAGCTACCAGCTCTGCAGTTTTGACCTCCCCTGTGTTGTAACGCATACATGTGAAAGGAGTTTTGCTTTCAAGAATTTGGGGTACAGTTCCCCCCCCAAACCCTTGCACTGGTCTCAAAACTTGGCAGGTTTCATGCTCTCTGCAGATTCTACCACCCCTGAAAATTTCATCCAAATCGGACAAAAAAACAACAACGTTATAGATATTTTATTGTTTCCCAGTCCTCCCCGACCTTAGGCCTGGCAGTGTTTCTCCTGAGTCCATCTGGAATCCTGGTTGGGGAGTCCCGGTCCCTGCACAGGAAAATGGAGGCAAATAATTTGTTAAAGAGGTCTGCTTTCTCCTCTGGTACAACCACCAGATTGCCAAGCATATCCTGCAGGGGCCTCACATTACCCAGTGCGTTCTTCATTCTCCCTTTATATTTAAAAAAGGACTTTTTATTATCTTTCTTAGCTGTGTGCATGGTGGAGAGGGAGGGAGAGGGGAAGCTTGGGGGGTGGGAAGAGACCTCTGAACCTTAGCAGATTCTGAAGCCAGAAAACAAGTAAAAACCCTGAATTTGCGATTTAAAAAAAATATCACAAAGTATTTAATCCTATATTGTGATATATTTATATACTTGGAACTGGCAACGCTACTTTTCTGGAGTGCAAAATGAAACTCCTATCTCCTTTCAGTTTGTACTAGAGCAGAGTTTCATATATGTTAGAGTCGGAAGGAACCTATTAGATTGAGTCCGACCCTGTCCTGGGCAGGAATGAGTGCCGGAGTCAGATGACCCCAGCCAGGTGTCTGTCCAATCTCCTTTTAAACACCTCCAAGGAAGGGGACAGCACCACCTCCCTTGGAAGCTTATTCCATATTTTGGCAACCCTCACTGCAAATAATTTTTTCCTGATGTCCAATCTGAATTTGCTCTTCCAGTTTGTGGCCATTATTTCTAGTTGCCCTGACAGGCGCCCTGGTAAACATTGTATCCCTTATTTCTTGCTTCCCCCCCCCCATGAGTTTGTAGGCAGCCACAAGATCACCTCTCAGCCTCCTCTTGTGGAGGCTGAAGAGGTTCAGGTCTCCCAATCGGTCCACGTAGGGTTTTTTCTGTAGGCCTTTAACTAGATGAATGGCCCTCCTCTGAACCCTCTCCAAGCCATCCACATCCCTCCCAAAGTGCAGCACCCAAAACTGGACACAGTACTCCAGCTGCAGCCTAACCAATGCCACATAGAAGGGAAGTATCACCTCCCTGGGCCTGTTTGAGATGCACCTACTTATGCAAGAAAGGGTGCGGTTAGGTTTACTTATTACCTCGTCATACTGGTGACTCATGTTCATTTTGGAGTCGACTACGACTCCGAGATCCCTGTCTGCAGTTGTGCTACTTAGAGTGGTACCTCCCAGGCAGCAGGAGTGTTGATGATTCTTCCTCCCCAGGTGCCACACACGACACTTATCCTTGTTAAACTGCATCCTATTCTGTTCAGCCCATTTCCCCAGCCTGTCCGAATCAGCCTGGATTCGCGCCCTGCCATCTAGTTTATGTACCTCCCCCCATAGTTTGGTGTCATCAGCAAACTTGGACAAGGTGCTTTCTACTCCCTCGTCCAAGTCACTAACAAAGACATGGAATAGTACCGGTCCCAAGACAGAGCCTTGCGGGACCCCGCTGCCCACATTTCTCCAGGTAGAAACCGACCCGTTCACCACTACTCTGAGTGCGTCCCATAAGCCAATTTTCTACCCACCGGACCGTGTAATAATCTACATTGCAACTGTTTAGTTGAATTATAAGAACTGGGTGTGACACTGTGTCAAAGGCCTTTTTAAAATCTAAGTAAATAACATCTACCTCTATTCCTTCATCAAAGCATTTTGTGACCCGGTCATAAAATGAAACCACGTTAGTCAGGCAGGATCTGCCTGCTGTGAACCCATGCTGATTGCCCCTTAGCATCATTTTACCAGCTGGTCCCCCACAAATGTGATCCTTAACAATTTTCTCAAAGGTCTTGCCAAGGATAGAGGTGAGACTAACCAGCCTATAGTTATCAGGTTCCTCCTTCCTCCCCTTCTTGAAAATAGGGACCACACTGGCCCTTTTCCAATCCTCTGGGACCTGTCCTGAGCATCATGAGTACTCAAAGTTGTGCTAGCGGCTCCACTATGACTCCAGCTAATTCCCTAAGTACCCTAGGATGAAGATCATCAGCACCTGTTGACTTAAATACATTCAATCCCTCCAGGTGCCCCTTTACTAGGTCAGCTCGAACAGTTGGTGGGATGGTAGCTATATTGGTCTTACCTAAGGTACCAATGGGATGCGTATTTGTATTCATGTCCAGGAACACAGATGCAAACAAATCATTTAGAAGCTCCGCTTTGGCCGTCCCATCTGTTACCAGTTGCCCTCATTCATCCTGAAGGGGCTCTAAGTTACGCTGCACCTTCTTTTTGCTTCCTATGTACTCGAAGAATGACTTTTTGTTATCTTAACTTTTGATGCCAGCCTGAGCTCCTTTTCAGCTTTGGCTCCCCTCAATGTTTCCCTGCAAGCTCAAGCCAAGCAGGTATACTCCTCCTTGGTGGCAGCCCCCTGCTTCCACAGCCTGTAGGCCTCTTTTTTTTTTTCCCCTCCAGGCTCTCTTGGATTTTCCTACTCCACCAAGAGGGTTTCTCTGCTTTTTTCCACCTTTTATGTGTACTGGGATGGTCCTTTTCTGTGCCTGCAGGATAAGTCTCTTGAGAAACACCCACTAGGGCTCTGCGAGGCTTCGGACACTTCGGGGTCCGAAGCAGCATGTCTGGGTCAAAATGCTGGCCTCGTTACGCTTCCCGAAGCGCTTCGGCGCCGCCTCGGAGATCCGGCCATAGTTAGAGAGTTTCTGGAGGGGCTGGACGTGTTCAGATCCGCAGGTCCAGATGCTCTCCACCCCAGGGTGTTGAGGGAATTGGCAGGGGTTATTGCGGGGCCCCTGGCACAGCTTTACGAACACTCGTGGTGCTCTGGCCAGGTGCCAGATGACTGGAAGAAAGCCAACGTGGTCCCCATCTTCAAAAAAGGGAAGAGGGAAGACCCGGGCAACTATAGGCCCATTCGTCTTACTTCAATCCTGGGGAAACTCTTTGAGAAGATCATCAAGGAGCACATCTGTGATGGGCCAGCAGCAGGGATGATGCTCAAGGGCAACCAGCATGGTTTCATTAGGGGCAGGTCCTGTCAGACCAACCTGATTGCCTTCTACGATCAGGTCACAAAAACATTGGACACAGGTGTCACGGTGGATGTAGTCTTTCTGGATTTCAGCAAGGCCTTTGACACTGTCTCCCACCCCATTCTCATAAAAAAACTGGGTGACTGTGGCATCGATGCCTACGCAGTCAGATGGATTGCAAATTGGCTGAAGGGTCGTACTCGGAGAGTAGTGGTGGACGGGTCTTTTTCAGCTTGGTGGGAAGTGGGCAGTGGAGTCCCCCAGGGCTCGGTCCTTGGGCCCGCACTG